GGTATTTGAATTTTTTTTTTTCAATTTTTTTTTCTTATGAAAGATTAGAAAAAAATATAAAATGTAAATTTATATATGTATATATATATTGCAATTTTATTTTACGCAATATTACACATTTTTACTTGATTATTAGGGCCCCAATTTATCATTCCGCCCATAGGCCACCAAAAAGCTTGGAACGGGCTTGGTCCCACTTCATCACTAAATCCACAATAGACAAACAAATCAATAATTAGGAGTCAACATATAATCAGGGAAAACAAATGAATTTGACATGGTTAGACGTACCGGCCATGTGCTGTGTTGGGTACTAAGAGTGCCAAATGGATTCATCCTGTCCGTGCACAACCCAAGCCTTAAATTTCTGAATTCATCACCAAATTTCCCAAACTTCATGTCAATGTTCTTCCATTGTGGGGAGTCGGCTAGATGCTTCAGCATTCTGTTTTTCTTTTTTCCCTCTGCATGCCACCTCAAGTTTAATTTGTAGCGTCTTTTGGTGTTGAGAATAGACGCTTAAACCTTATCATCATTGTTGTATTCCTCGTCCACATGAATCTCATTGCTTATATCATGCACATCATTCCCATCAACATCCCCACTATACTCTCCTTCTTCACCGTGCCAAATCCACACATGGTATTTAAGCCTAAACCCACGATAAATTACATGATCTCTAATGATTTCAACACTATTGACCACCTTCACATTATTACAATCAACACAAGGACAATAGAGGCAATCGACATCCATTCTGTGCTGATAAGATAAGGCCCTATCGCAAAACTCTTGAACTGCATGAAAGAATTCCAATGTATCACGTCTACCATACATCCAACCATGATCCTTCTCCATTTAGTAAATTGTCTCTAAACATAGCAGCATATTATGAATAATGTATAATTGCTACATATTGTATATATGTAAATCAAATTCAAACACACACCATGCATATACCATTCATATAGTAAAAAAATGCATGCTTCCAAAGGGTCCTTATCACTCCAACCTAACCCATCCTTGAACGTCTAATCTCACTAGTGAATGTATGTCGACTTTCCAATTTTAAGGAAAATCCGACAGCATTTCCCCCCAGTTCTCCAAGTACACGATGTAGATAATTACTTACCCACATATGGACCTAGAGAATATGGTGAGGAAATGGTAAGCCAAAATGTTCCTTAAAATCGAAAAAAAAAAACATACATTCACCACCTAAGTGAGAGTAAACGTTCAAGAACAGTCCCAACCGGGGACTATTCAAGACTTTCTCCTAATGAGAAAGCCTTGAACGGGTATCTAGGCGTATGATGATGCAAGCATTTTATATATATGTTTTATTTATTTGTCATTAAACAATACACAAGTTGAAATAGCATGAAAAAAACTTTTATTAAATGGATAAAGAGAAAGAAATATAGCTTAGTAATTAAAGTTTATAATTCATACCAATCTAGCAAGTACAATGGATGTACTCTTTCTAACTTCCCACGTATTTGAGCTAAATATGTAGTCTTCAAGCTAAACTTGTGCTTCACATATGAATCTATAATAAAACAAAAATAAAAAACAAAACAAAAAACAAAAGATAGTAAGTATGAACTATCATTGGTCAATTGAAAACTATGAACTATCAAAGAATCAATCTATCATGTTTATCAATTAATTAATAATCAACAACTCCACAAGTATTCAAATCCAACTATTCAACTAAATAACTAATTGCTCTAATACCCTAATTCAATCAAATAATCAATTATTCAACAAGACAACGATTATATATCATTTTATTTCAGATTCCCAATCAAATTAGCAATTATCATTTAGCAATAACTCAATACGACAATAAGGCAGTACCGCAATGATTAATTTAAAAAAAAATAGAAAGACATCAAGTCACTAGTCAGGCAGCAAGGCAGTGAGGCAGCAATTCAGCAAATGCAATTAGACAAAAACTGAAAGACAACCTTCACAATTAGTCAATTAGACAATTTCGACAACATTCACAATTAGACAATTCGACAACATTCACAAATCACAATTCGACAGCAATGAAAGACAACATTCACAACCACAGGAATTCACAGGAAGCAAGCAATAGGCATTAAAGGAAACCAGAAAGGCAAGGTCACCAGACACCAGGTCGACTGTTCGAGGCCGTGCTGCCGTGACAAAAAGTCCGTTGTGGTTAAGGGGGAGCCCCGCGCGCAGGTGAGAAAGCTTACAAGAACCCTAAAATTACTAAACTGAAAATCAAATCAGCGACAAACCCTAGATTGCGAAATTAGAATTCGATAATTTAAAAAGGACAAAGAAAAATCTTACCTCGAAACTGCTTCAATGGAGGTGAGAAAGCTCAGAATCCACTTCAATGGAGAATTAAGAGACGCGCGCTTCAATGGAGGAGAGATATAGAGAGAGAAGGAGGTGCAGCGTGAGAAAGCTCAGAATCCGCTTCAATGGAGAATTAAGAAAACTTCGGAGGTGGTGGATTCAAGAGAAGGGCGCTGAGAAATGAAAACTTTGGAGGGAAAACAAAAATAATGAAAAGCAGGAGGAAAGAAAGAAGAAGAAGGGAAGCCGCCCAATTTTTTTTTTAATTCGCACCGGTTTGGTTTGAACCGGTGCGAAAACTCTTTCCCTCTATTTTTTTTTGTTCGCACCGGTTTGAATCGGTGTTAATAACAACATTTCGCACCGGTTCAGTTTGAACCGGTGCGAAAACTCTTTCCTTCAATCCCGCCTATTTTTTTTGGCGGTGCTCATTTCTATTTTTCTACTAGTGTTGTCTAACTTCGTTCTTGGCCGTGTTGTGTCGGTTGATGCTCAGCGGAAGCGGGACAAGTATAGGGCGCGTTGCAGGGTTATTGGCTATGGTTTTCTTCCTTTCTCCTTTTCTTCATTGGGGGAATTAGAGAAGGATGTTGTTGCATTACTGATGCGGGTTCCAACGTTCGCTAGGACTCGGGATATAGGTGCTCGTGTAGATGCTCACATCATCATCAGCAACATCAGATTCGCTATAACTAGAGGGGTGGGGGCCCAGATTGTATCTCGGCTCCCCACTAATTTCTATTATAATAATAATAATATTAATAATAATAATCCTGGGACAGAGGCCTTAATGTGTGTGTTTACTTGACGGGGTCTTCTCCTTTCACACAATGTGGGTTGTCTAACTTCGTTCCTGGTCGTGTTGTGTCGGTTGATGCTCAACGGAAGCGGGGCAAGTATGGGACGCGTTGTAGGGTTATTGGCTATGGTTTTCTTCCTTTCTCCTTTTCTTCATTGGGGGAATTAGAGAAGGATGTTATTGCGTTGCTGAAGCGGGTTCAGGCGTTCGCTAGGACTCAGGATATAGGTGCTTGTGCAGCTGCTCACATCTTCATCAGCAAGATCGGGTTCGCTATAGCTAGAGGGGTGGGGGCTCAGATTGTATCTCGACTCTACACTAATTTCTTGTAACTCGGATGACTTTGTAGATATGTGTTGTTTTTAATGATAATAATAATTACAAATAAAATATAACATACAAAATTTTTGGTATATAAAAAGAAGTCTACTTAGATGTAGTAATCAATTAAATTGGAATTGAACCGTTTTGGTATTCGTTGTAGTGGGATTGGATCATTGGGTTGTAACGTATACAGAGAATGACAAGTATTGACATTTTACAACCATTCCACTCAACATCATAAACTATTGACTTTGAAATAAAAATTAATATAAAATTTCGACATCTGAATTAAAAGTCTTTAATTATACGTTATACTTCGTATAATTTATGGTAAATACAAGCACGATATTATAAAAACGAAATTCACCCTTATATAATATTCACGCACAATACTATATACGTAGTAGTAAAAAAAAAACTAAATTTTCCAGCCCTTAATTAGTTTTTTTACTTCTTATTAATTGGTAATCTGGTAAACAATTATGAATAACAATAATATTTTGGGTTATTCAACCTTAACATCAGTTTCAAAATATAAAAAAAAAGTCTACCTAAATTATTATAGAGAATTAGAGACAACAATTGGCGCGAATTGTATTTTTAAAATGAAAATTTTATGTTGTTAAATTTTGAGATAATATAAAATGAACCTGGACTACCCGAATAAGGAGGAGGAGAGTTTGGTCTACAAACAAAGCTAAGGAGATTCTATACGGAAACCAATTGACATTAGTAGGAGTAACTCTTCTACCTTATAATGTGAAACCATCTCTTCTCTTTCTCCAATGTGGAATAGTCACAAGAAGGCTACAATGGGTTTCAGCACTCCCCCCTCACTTGTGAGTGTCCTTAGAAATTCAGAGCTAACTTGGAAAGAACAGATCAATAATCCTCTAAGGAGTTGGACATCTTGTCAAGGTAAAACCTTATCCAGTAGTGATTAAATACCCAATTTAGAAGAGACTCGTAACCAGGGCTCTGATACCATGTTAAATTTTGAGATAAAATAAAATGGGCCTGGGCAATACGAACAAGGAGGAGGAGAGTTAGGTCTACCAACAAGGCTAAAGAGATCCCATGGCATACTAAAATCAATTTGCAATAGTATGAGTAACTCCTCTACCTTATAAAAGTAAAACTATCTATCCTCTTTTTCTAATGTGGGATACTCACAAGTGGGTTAAAATGAGTTTCAACATATGTCATCGTTCTCGCGGAATACAAATCATGCACACGTCATTGTTAAAATTGAAAAGAAAAAAAACACAAAGACTTTCAAGTTATTCTATAAAGTCAATATATAAAAATACTAGTTTAATGTTTTAAAACTTCCTTGTCCCCTTCAATATACAACATTTCATAAGCTTATCATCACTAATAATAACATATTTAATTAGTTTAATAGAGCTGGCGATGCACCGGCCATCATTAGCACGTTATGACATTTAGTCATTGTCTTAATGAATTGAATAGTAAGTTCCCTAATCCAGGGCTTAAAATTTAAGGCTATAAATAAGAATGGAGTGCAGAAGCATTCTTCATCAATCCAACAATCAAATCAAATTAAAGTTGATAAATTAGCTTGAATTACAAAAGTAAGGTACTTTAGCTTCTCATAATAATAATAATAATAATAATAATTATTATTATTATTATTATTATTATTATTATTATTATTATTATTATTATTATTATTATTATTATTATTATTATTAACTTTGTGGTGGTTTGCCTGAATTTTGCAGGCTAAAATCTAATAATAAGAAAAATGGGATCATCAACAAAGATGAATGAAACACACTTAAAGGCTATAGCTGAGATGGAAAAAGAGGTAGAGGCAGGATACCATTGAATTCCAGGAGCCGAAAGATTGGTCTGGCAACTAATAGTGGTGGTCTGGCAACTACAAAATGTTCTATCATGAATTTTGGTGAGGATACCATTGAATTCCAGGAGCCGAAAGATTGGTCTGGTAGTGTTTTGGGCGAGTACCCTCCTCAAATTAAGGCGAGCACATCTGCCAAGTTTACGCATCAAGGTGATGATGGTTCAATGGGGGCTGTAGTTTATGTTGGACCTCGTAAAAAGGGTGGGTCGACTGAATGTGCATGGGTCTTTGCATGGTACACACCGGGCAATGGAAACGCAAACAAGGTAAATGTCTTAGCTATCTATTGTATGGCCTGGTTTGCTTTTATCAATATATATGTAGTATTACATACGTAAACATTGAATTGGTATCATTTTTTCTGTTTTCAGACTTACGTGGAAGTTGGGCCCGCTGAAGATTATCCTAAAGATAACATAGATAGATGGGACACTATCAAAGAAAACCTTCTGAAAGCTCCCGGCCATACAAGTCATGCCATTGATAACGTCAAAACTGGAGCTGAGGCGTCTTCCAGCATTAAGCCTGGATATACTTCTGTGGCCACTTCTGTATTCGATGTTGTTAAAATCAAGTAATCTCATCTTATCAACAACTAAGGGCCATTGATGGAGCTATTACACCTTTTCTGTATTATTTTTAATTAAAACTATATGTATGCACCATACCCTTAGTCGTTACTGCCTTAATTTGCTTTTTGTTCTTGTGTGTTGTTATCAATCTAAGTGTGCTGCTTGCAACTTTGTAATCTTTTTTACTTTTTTTTATTGAATCCGTCTTTTTGTTTTCCTTTATTGCCTTTTCTTATCTTGTCTCCTCGTTATTTTAGCGTACAATAAATTACACTACAACACCTTGATTGTTGATCTTGTTCTTATTTTTTATACATATTATTTTTGCAAAAATACCTGTTGATTCCATGAAAAACACTAGCCAAATTAAAATCTTCCCTAGTGCAAGTTCGCTGTACTCAAAATCAAAGATCTGTCCTCCTTCGGTTGTGCCGTGGTTTGGAACTCACTGCCTTAGAAACGAAATACGCCACCAGCGGTACCAAAGTTATTAATATCGGGATTCTACTTTGAATCGGAAGGGGCTCTTAGAATCGAATCATAAAATCGAATCGTAGAATCGTAAGATTCTATCGACATGCATAATTAAGACGTCATATCTAAATTTAATTAAATATAATTAAATTATGATTTTGAAACCTAGTTATTGATAAAAAATTTACCCATTAAGCAATCAACAATTGACAATAAAATATATATTTATAAATAACTATGTAGGCATGTTTTAAACTAGTAAGGATTTCTCTAGTTAAGAGAAATATGTAAAAATCAGGTAGAATCGTAAATCGAATCGTGTGACATACATGAATCGCAAAATCGTAAGATTGTAAGATTTAAAACGGAATTTTATAACAATGAGCGGTACAGATCTCCTAGTGATGCACGCCTTCCAAGTTTTACACAACGACCTCCGTAATCCGTGTACCCGAGCTCGAAGGTTGATATTGTTCAAGAAATGTTCAGATCTTAGAGGGTAGGTTTTTATTTAGGTTCCGTATGAATGAATTCATCAAAAGGAGAGATAACACTCGTATTTATATGTATCCCAAAAATAGGAAACACACAAACAATATATATAATCTTTTCCATGTGAAACTGATCTTCAAGTGTTTTAATCCACAGTATAGAGGATTATTATTATTATTATTATTATTATTATTATTATTATTATTATTATTATTATTATTATTATTATTATTATTATTATTATTTTAAATTGCTTGGAAGGAGTTAGGAAGGATATGAACTATATGGATTTGCATGAGGATGAAGCATTGGATCGTAAGGGATCGATGGAGGAGGAAGATTTTTGTGGATGACTACACGGAATAGATTTACATTTTTAATCAATCTGTCTTTTTTTTTTTCCTTTATTGTTTTCTTGACAGTAGGTTGATTGTTAATCTTGTTGGGTTGAAATTATGTCGGTTTAAAATCGGGTAGGATTAATATCAATTCGGGTCAAAACATATTAGATTGAATCAGGTATTTATCAGGTCAATTTTTGTTTAGGTTGTGTTCAGGTAGGGCCAAACCGGTTTGATTTGAGTTCAAGTCGGATCAAATTGGTTTCGGGTTAAGTTCATGTCAGGTCAAATCGATGTTTGGTTAAGTTCAGATTGGATCAAATTCGAATTCGGGTTGAACAGTTGGTTACAGGTCAGGTTTGAAACCTGTAATTCTCGAGACAAATCATATCGATTACAAATTTAAAACATATGGTTTTATAGGTCGGGTTGGATCGATTTTCACACCTCTAATTTTACTCTAATAATGGGTGAATAAAATCACATTGGGCCAATATCATATTTTTGTTATCAACTGCAAAGACTGTTGTATAATGACTAAGCCCAAGTACAGAGTACTTATAGATAACATATGCCACGTTAGCAAAACCGTAGGTCCAAATTACACCAAAGGGCAAGAATAACATTCATCACTAAAACTTGCCTAAACAATTTGTATCCTCCTTATCCAAAATGCACTCAAACTAGTACTGCAAACCATGACCACCATTTTGAATCCCACCATCACTTTACTCCAAACCAAGATCAAAAAATCACCACCCTACACCCACCACCAATCCCATAATTCGTCGGCAATTCGATCATTGCTCTCCGATGATGATGAAAACCAAACTCAACGGCGAAAATTTATGGTCACAACATTGCTAGGAGGGTTGAGCATTAATGCTGCTTGTTTACCATTGAAAGCACAAGCTGAGGAAATGAAATGGGGCACCCGTTCTTTTATTTGGGAGCGGTTTTTCGAGCCCGGTTTATCACCAGAGGACGCGGTGGCTAGGATTAAGAATACAGCTGAGGGGCTTCATAGCTTAAGGCATATGTTGGAGACCATGTCATGGAGGTATGTTATATTTTACATAAGGCTAAAAGAGGCTTATTTGAAGCAGGATATGAAGAGTGCTATGGTTATGGTTCCTGAAGGAAGAAGAGATGATTATGTTAATGCTGCTAATGAGTTAGTTGATAATATGGCTGAGGTAATATGATTCTATCTTGTTTATTTGTTATAATTTCTGTATTTCCTCATCACAATTCATAAAATATTCAATGAATAGTTTAATTAATTAACAGTATTGTGGATATTAATGTTATATTATATCATACAAATATGACTAATCAGAAAGTAGGCACCAATGTACATATGTATCATATACTTAAGATTGGACTTTGAAATTGATAGAGCGACTCCTATGATGAATTAGTTCAAAATACTTGAAGAGTTTAACATCATTTAAATCGATATGATGATAGGTCATAAATGTAAGGGAAAAAATTATACTAGCACGTATACGTTTCAAGTTGGAATGATATATTAAAAGCTAAAAATCATAAATTCAACGGTAAGTTCCTTAGGATTACATTATAAGAGGTAATGAATTTAGAACAGTACATACATTGGCAAGTGAGTAATTCAGGACATACGGAATAAGTGAAATGTGTGATGTGAGAAATAGTTATTTACAATGGACATTTTGAAATCTAACTTATCTTATCAAATTATATAGTACACAATGTCATCCTCATAACTTTTTTTTTCCTAATACAGAACAAATGGGCCATCTAAAATATGGGTGTATTGTTGCAATATTTTTCTCTGTTATCTTTGATTTGCATCTCTAAAATTGATTGTTCAATGCTGATCTTACTTTTATTTTAATAATGCAGTTTGATTACTATGTCCGAACACCTAAAGTATACGAATCATATGTATTCTATGAGAAGACATTGAAATCAATAGACAATCTCTTGGGATTCTTGGCATAAGCTCCTCACAAGACAGAGGACTCTGTTTGAACTCCGCCATAATTTCTGCAGCATAAAATCAGTACATATGATAGTTGTTGTAATATTGAATATTATTTGGCCTGACTTTTTTCGCTGAATAACGTTCTATTTAGCTTGTTTTCCAATGATATATTGAAAATGATTATAGAGTCACTTGATTAATAATCATATTCAAATTTAGAGTACAAACTAAGACCATTCTGTTCGAGATACATTCACAATTTACAGTACTATACTGTCTCAAATTAAAAACAGTGAAAAGTAAAAATCAACACACAAAATAACAGTTGATGAAAATATACATTTCAGTTCTTGAGGTGTAACGCAAATTAATGATGGCGGGAGATAGCAAATGCTGACAAGAGGATAAGTAGAACGAACATGACAATTGCGACATAGGAGCCGATCAGGGAACCAGAAGTGCGCTCACAGAAGTTGTTGAACTGCTGACAGATTGCGAACCAATTGGCCGAAGCATTGCCCTTGTGTGCTAAGTATACAATTGCTGTTGCTGCTGAAGCTGCTGATGTTAATAGACCCAATGCAAGCTATATACGAAAGGAAAAGAGTGATTAAAAGAAGCACCAAACGCAAAAATTGAACTTTCTTAGAGTTATATTCTAACAAGTTTTTCTATGTAATATATGCTTAGGATATTAATCAGAATGAACAATAGAAGTATCAGAAAACTGAAGGAAACATTACGAAAGATGAAGTAACTATGTAATACCATGTCAAGAATGGCCAACACAATCCTGGTGACTTTAGATCCACTTCGAATGATGTGGAAGATAGACAGTGTAAGAGAAAGCACCAAGTAACCTGTTATAATCGCGTTTGCCACCACAAAGAACCTTCATAGGAGTAAAAGAAAAAAAAAATCATGTCATGTGCATGTACATATTATGTTTGTAAACAAAAATGACTAGCTAAGACTACATAATATTTTTAAGATGGTCAAATTATAAACTTACGTGAATGTTGGGAGATCATCATATTCAGCTCTAAACCGGATAAATTGAGTGAAAAATGGAAGTGTTTCATTAGTTGTGCCCATAGCAATCGCGCTAGCAAGGGTAGCAAGGCCTGCGACTACCCTAAAGAGGAAGTCGAGGATGGATAGTCCTCGACTTGCACTAGCAGCACCCTTAGAGGTCTCACCGGCTTCAAGTCCTCCCTTTGACATTTTGCTTTCTTTGTGGATGATTTGATCACTTTACGAGGACTTTAGTAGTTTTCGGAACTCTTAAGCTTTCTGATAGCTCGAAAGATGTAGAAGATTAGATGAATGATGAAGATAATGAGTTGCAAATGGTATATATACTTAGGATCTTAACAAAAATTCCAAGAATGAGGAGACAAAATGGATTGGCTTAATGGGTTTGCTAGGAATTAAGTGGGATTGGTGTTCTGCTTCTCTAATAAAGCCAAAAATAAGCAATTTATTTGATGATTAACAACATGATTTAATACTAGCTAGTTGCTAAAGCTAAAATTTATGCTTTTTTTTTCAAAATTTTTTATGGCTTTTTACCTGCTTTGTATATGAAAATTTGGTAGTTTTACAATCATTAAATTTACATTTGTAACAATTCCACTTTTATTTTTTTGAAACATTTATAATAATTCCACTTTAGCTGGTGCTTCTGTGTTGATTAGGTAGGATTTGTTTTTGTAAATTTTTTTTATTGAGTTAATTGTCAATAATTTAACATTTTCTTAATTCTTAAAGTCAGCTATTTGACGTCTATTTAATTTGCCATTTAAGGATAGTCAAAACTTAGTGGAGTTGGGTGTTCTTACGTGGGATGAGACATAGGTCAACTCTTTGACGTCTTTATTTGTAAAATAGAAAATTTGTACGAGTGGATACTACCTTTTCGGTTTAATTTTATTAATAGAGTGATTATGTTAATGCACGAGATATTAATAACAAAAAGGTAGGAGACTAACGTATGGAGCAACTTACTGTAAGAAATTGTAGAATATAAGAATGTACTCTGTATATCTTTTATATATTAGCCAAGGGGTGATGTAGTGCAGTGGCAACAGTGTCCACATAAAATGATTTATGTAGATAAATTTAGAAACTTATAGCACGCACCACATTAATGTTATACATGAGAGAATTATATAACCTAAAATTTGTAAATTTGATTGCTTAATTTTTGTTAATGTGAGTATGTAATTCAATGAAAAATGTACTCGTGGTTAGGTGTTTTCTTAATTCATGTTGATTTTTAATTAACTAAGAATAAGTTGACAACTACCTACATTGTAATAATCAACATTAAACGTTAATTTGTCGATTTCTCATCCAAAAAAAATAATAATGTTGATAATTAAGGTTTAATGAACACCCTAATAATCTTATATATGCTCATAATTACAAAAGTCCTACACGCTATATATTAGAATTTATAATAATCGAAAATATAAATTAGAATAAATACAATTATGAAAGTCACATAATATATAAAGAAAACTAACTTTAACTTTTTTTGCTAAAATAAATTAATAAAATCATTAAAAAAAATTCCAAATAGGTACATAGATTTAAAAAATTGCAAATAGGTATATAGATATAAATTTTTTTGCAAATAGGTACATAGCTACAATAGGAACCGGCCGGAGACAGAATGGATGCATACTATTATCTTGGTAGGGTAATAATGGATATGGATGTCGTCCTTATATTCTTTCTCTCATAACACGTGACATACTACCCATCTCATTGTCCTCATTGTATAGGAATACTCTTTCAGTGTAATAAGTCGTCATTTTGGTATGAGAAGATAACAACATAAACACAGGTAATCTTAAACCTAAATTACAACCACTGAACGTAATACAACGGATTTATTATATGCAACCTAATCTAATATAATACAGCCCCTCAGACTTATATATATAAGTTGTTTTGGATAAAAACAAAAGGACCTTCGGCAAGGTCCTTTTCTACGAGCTGAAGACTGATCTCGGTCTAAGTGATGACTAGGCCGAGAGTTTCCAGCACAGCAGACACACGTGAACTAGTCTCGGGGGTGTTGCCGAGGAAAGCCCTCCAATGCCGAAGTCAGTACAGTGTTTAGAGACAGAAAGCTATGCAAGAATATTAATTGCTTGAGGCTTAATGTGTATATCCGTAGAGAGAGAAGATTGAAGGCTTTTATACCTTTTTTCAATAGATAAGTGGGTCGTGAATCAAGTGAGCTTTCCACGTTGACCGGGCCTTAGCTGACTTGACATAGTTTGGAGAGTTGAACCTTAGCCTTGGGCTTTGTAATTAAATCATTTATGGACTGGCCCAATTGAAGTAAATTGGACCCAAACAACTTGGCCCCCAGATCCGATTCGGAAACATGACGGGCCGGGTTTGACTTGCAAAATGGAGTGAAGTAAACGATTTAATTAGAGTTTGAATTCGGGTAGTTATTGAGGCAATAACGGTTATTTAGAGAGTAATTAGGGAAGTTGGAAGGTTTAGTGGGTAATTAATTAAGGAAGTGTTTAACGGTTGCATTGAAGTGGAGTTAGTGGGGGTTTTAATGGCGCGGACTCCTAAAATTCCACTTCCGAAAAGCTTTTTTAAGCCACTCACCCCACTCTCTCTCCTTATTTCTTTGCTAATTCTCTTTCGTTCTTCGCTAATCACTACTGTTAACCCGCTTTCCTTTTTCTGTATATTCTCATCAATCTGAAACCTGAAACTGAAATTCGTTGCTCCGGACTCGTAGATCGGCGAATTCCGCTTCTGATAAAGGTAATTTTCTTCGATTTCTTTGGTTTTCTTTGATTTTTAGAGCACCCCCCTTTTCTCAATTTCTCGAACTTCCACTAACTAGAATGGCTCGAGACTAAGGAAAGAGACCTATGGAGGTCGATGAGGAGGAGGAAGTTCCTAAGCTGATTCCGCGACGCAATTGTCCGCTGGAGATGATGCCGCCTTTGAGCGGCCGCAACCCTCGTCCCAAGGTTGCGACAGCAGCTTCTACTAGCAGAGCCGCGATTCCTGCAGTACCGATGTCATTTGCGCCTCCCCAAGATTCGGAGGAGGTGAGCACCTCCGGCCAAGGCGGGAGCTAGGAGCCCGAACCTTGGGATTTTCCCCTTGGAGCAAGGGAATGGGGAAACGTCGCCGAGAATTTTGTGTTGATGACCACCCCTCCTTATGATTGGTGGGTGGACAAGAACCCCCTCTACCGCTTTGCCGAGAAAATTGAAATATTTTACGGCATAATGGAGGCGGATGGATATTGGTGCCGAATGCCCACAACTCAAGATAGGATTCACCGTCCTCACCTTGGGTACATCGAGTTGTATACTCGGCAACTGCAATTTGGGCTTCGATTCCCTCCGCACTCCTTTGTTATTGAAGTGTTGAACGGGTACAACATATCGTTGTGCCAATTAACCCCCGCCAGCATCCGAAGGATGATGACGTTTCTCTGGGTGTGCCTCTTTTATCGCTTTGCGTCAAGCCTCCATGTTTTTCGGAACCTCCACAAACTGGTGCCGAACCAACAATCGGAGGAATATCATGGCACTGGTTGGTGGCGGATTGAGATCCAAAGGGGGCATCTCACCACTTGGCCGAATGATACTTCGGACAAGGATTGGCGGGGCCAATGGATCTGGGTTCGGGCGCCTTTGAAAGAGGACCATCCGAACTATTTTGGAGGGTCAAGGTATTTGAGCGAGCCTGATCCCCAGATGAGGAGCATTGGTCCTGACGAGTTCGATGATCATGAAAAGGATGTTTTCACTCTCTTCGGCAAGAAGAGGAATCCAAGGGGCACGGGCCGAACGGCTCAAGTGCCCACAACTTGGCTGCCCTGCTACCACTACATCTTCCTGGAAAAGATGCTTGCCGTTGTCGGCCTCAGCCAAATATACCAAGGGGGTAAGGAGTTCGGCTGGGGCCGAAGGCCTTTGCTATTTTCTTCTTTCTTTTACTGTTTTCTTTCTTCGTGCTGACGAACCCTTGAATTTCGGCTTTTTAGTGCTGCACGAGGGGAATTCTTGTATTAACTACAATCGACTCGGGATCAACGCTGCAAGGCGGGTGACGAAGAACGCTCCTAATATAACTGAGTCATCGGACCGGCCCCTTTCTTTGCGCAAA